AGGTGCAGAGGAAGGTGTCGGACCCAGACTCGGTGAGTTCCGTCTTCTCCGACACGCCCATCGTGGTGTGAGGGGACACTGTGGAGACAGTCCCCAGGGACACCCCGTGTCAGCCACTGCAAGCTGTCCCTGGGCAGGAGGGGTGGCCAGACCCCCAGTGCCGTGTCCCCAGCTTGGGGGGTCACACCATCACACCCCAGGACTGAGCATCGCTGCTGGCCCTGCCGAGGTCACTGACACCATGGGACAGTGAGGGACAAAGATGGGACACACACTTTGAGGACAGTGTCCCATCGTGACCTGACTCTGGGCAGGAGAGTTGGCCAGACCCCCACCACCATGGCCCCAGCTTTTGGGAGTCCCATCATCACCCCCAGGACTGAGCATTGTCCCACACCCCACTGGGACCACAAAGGGACCGTGAGTGACACACCATGGGGACAGTCCACCAGGACACCCCTACAGTGTTCCTACTGCTGCTGTCACCTGTTCCCCATGGACATGCCATGGACAGAAGGGGTGTTTGGACCCCTGCTGCCATGTCCCCAACTTGGGGGGCAGCACCATTGCCCGCCAGAACAGAGCATCACTGCTGGCCCCCACCGAGGTCACTGTGCCACAAGGGACAAGGATGTGACACCATGGGGCAGTCCCCCACTGTCACCTGTCACTGGGCAGGAAGGGTGGCCACACCCCACGACCATGTCCCAGCTTTTGGGGGTCCCACCATCACCCCCAGGACTGAGCATCATCCCTGGCCCCTGCTGAGATCCCTGAGGGACTGCAAGGGACAAGGGTGTGAGAGGACACTGTGGGGAGTCCCCAGGGACATCCTGTGTCCCTAGTGCCACTGTGAGCTGTCCCCAGGCTGGAGGGGTGGCTGGACCCCCATCATCGTGTCCCCAGCTTTTGGGGACCCCACCACCACCCCCAGGACTGAGATCATCCCTGGCCCCTGCCAAGGTCACCAGGGGACTGCAGAGGACAAGGGTGTGAGGGGACACACCAAGGGGACAATCTGCTGCTGTGACCTGTCCCTGGGCAGGAGGGATGACCAGACTCCCACCACCGTGTCCCTCGTTTTTTGGGGTCCCACCATTGCCCCTCAGGACTGAGCATCGCTGCTGGCCCCGCCGAGGTCACCACAGGGACACGTCTGTGAGGACAGCGTGGCCACCAACTGCAGGGCATCAGCCCCACCAGGCTCTGGAGGACTGAGGGACAGTGACAGTGACAGCTGTGAGCCCCCAGGAGCGGCAGCACCGGGCAGAACCCCCCTCCTGCAGCCCCCCCATTCCCCCCGCCCCCCTTGGCATGTGCATGGCCAAGCATGAGTCCCCCGGGGAGCATGTGCCACCCCCATGGGGACACCGGGGCTGTGTCAACCCCCTGGGGAACCCCAACACCTCCTGACCCCCCTGCAACCCACAGCTGCAAGCAGAGCCCCCTCCCCCGCAGGGGTGGGACCCGGGGGCTCCTGCACCCCAAAAAGGGGGTGCTCCCTCCCATGGGTGCCCATGGGTGTCCCCATGCCAGCCCAGCCTGTGTCCCCTGTGCCCCCACCCCGGACGTTCCCCCCCTGCACTGGGCAATGCCCAGCGATGCCTTGGCCAAAATAAACGTGTTTCCCTCGTGCTGTGCAACCTTCACCCTTCTGGGGGGCTCCCAGGGGTGTCCCCTTGCTGGGGTGAGGGTGGGTTGGGGAC